CAGTTCAATTCCTGGTACAAATAAAAAAAGTACATGGAAATTAAAATGGTAGACTCTTCATTGGAGAATGTGTCCCTCACAATCTATGTTTTCATTAGGTTTTCATTCAAGTTTGGGCTTCCCCACCCTCACATACATTGCTTCACTTTTTACTAGTTTCCAGTTGTGCTTTTGAGACTCTAAAAGCAGTTTTTTCCTCCTAATATTTTATGTGTCAATTTTTGTTTTTGTTGCCTACTTTTACTCCTGGGTGGTTCATAGAATCTTCTCTTTTGCTATTTTTTTCAAAATATTTCAGTGTTGTAAGCGTGTCTACTCATTGTGTATCATAGACATAACAAGTCCTTTTACTTCAGGAGGTGTGGGCTTTATCCTATATTTTTCTTCTTCAAATATTTAATTGAAAATTTCCTCCTTTCTGTTTTCCCCCCACTGGGATGGCTTCACTTCTTGGGATGCTGCAGTTCCTGGGCTGGCCTCTTGACTTCCTATGTGTGTGTACTGTGCACTCTTCTTTCCACTCCACACCACACAATTCATGACTTTAATTTCATGACCATCACGGGTTCAAGTTTTCTATTTACAATTATGTTTTTCATTTCAATCAGCTCTTTGTCTCTCTGAATATCCCTTTGTTATAGCGCCCTGTTCTACAGCACCCTGCTTCATGAAGGCAATAGATTCTTTATTTCTCTGAAGATGGTAATGATAGTATTTTTAAAAATGTTTTCTTTTCCTTGAATAATCAATATTTTACAAGCTTCTTTTATTTTATGTTGCTGGCCGCTAGAATGTATAGTATATATTTACTCAAGCATCTTCTCGGATTGTTTATTCATATTTAAGGAGAAGTTCAGAAGCTGATTAGAAAATCTAAATGTGTATGAAGCTTGTTAATAACTTTGAGCTTTGCTATTGGATGATGTAGCTGCATGTGTTTAAAAGCCTTTGATATCAAATTATCAGGTCTTTCTACTTAGTACAGTAAATTGCCCTTTCCTCTCTTGACTTCCGGCTAAGTGGGGAAAGTTGTCCAGTCCTGGGTTAAAGAAAGGATGTAACTGTTTGTGATACATCATCTCAGCCTCTTTATTTTACCACGTTCGTGTCCCCTGTTTTGAGGCACCCAGTTACCTTTGCCAGGTTAGGACATATTATTAGTATGGGTAACAAATCACATTGTCTATGAGTTATTAACAAAAATAATGTTATATGTCTCAGAGACCCAAATGAAGGGAGTCTCAGTTTCTACTTTCAGTTTTGCTGAAGCAGAGGAGACGAGCATTTGATGAAATACCTGCTGTTAGAACACTCATCCCAACTGCCCCTCATAGCATTTTTCCATACGTCAGTCTTTCTCACTTCAAAGGTGCAGAAAAATACAATCTTAAAACATGCCTAGGAGGAGAACCGGAAATATTGTGCAAATAGCGCCTGTGACCCCTTTCTTAGCTGGGCACTCAGAGTTCTGTGATCTTTTCAATATTGTGAAATACAGCTCAGTTTCTTCCTTACCTCTCTCACCTGCTGGTTTAGAGAATGTGTTTTTAAACCTGCTAGACTGGTCACCAACTTTTCCATGTTCATGTTTCCATTGTCTTTACCATTATAGTTGCCTTTATTTGGGAAGATGTCACAAAGATTTTTGTCTTAATGGAGTTTAACAAAGGAGTGAAGTTGTATTGAATATATTTTGTTTATCAGAAAAAAAAAGAGTCTAAATTTTATAATCTGAAGAAGCTAATTGTGTAACTTTACAGAGTTCATTAAAGTGCTGTATAGTTAATGAATGTTAGGGCCAGCCAAATAGCTCAGCAGATTAAAGCACCTGCAAGTAGGCTCAGGGGCGGGGGTTCAATCCCCAGGCCTGCCATGCCAGTCACGCCCCTGGGGCATGCTGAGATAGCAATTGAGACTGGGTGTGGTTATGACCACCTATAATCCCAGCTCTTGGGAGGCTGTAAACAGGTGGATCACTAGGAGTCTTATCTAGTAGTGAGACCCTAAACACCCTGTAGATCCTTCCCTAAAATACAGAAATGTTAATGAATGTACATAATAATGAATGTCACATAATAATGATAATAATGATTTTATTACAATTCTGTATAGATAAGTAAAACAACTTTCTTATTTTCCCAATTCTCTCTGTGTGTTGCATTTTAAAAGTAATTCTAATAAAAAAGCATTGTAAGAAATATTCATTTCTTGAGTCCTGAAAAGGCAGCTTTTCAATTTCCTTTGTATTTAGCCCTTACATGCATGTCACCTCACTTGTAAGTCATGATTTGAATTTGCTAAAGAGTCATTACTTTCCTTTTTTATTTTTATCTTTTATTAATTTTATTGAGAAACAAATAGCAATGAGATAGTTTCAAAACAGGTTAGTGGGACAGTTACAATAATTAATACATTGCATATTATTGTCTTCATAGTAGTTATTCACAGTATAAGATGCGGACATGGTAACCTGTCCAAACACTATTAGTACAAATCTTTCTTCTCATTGAATTAATGGAAAGTAGCTGTATATCTCCCCTAACTATTTTGTATATACAGATACAAAATGGTCCTTCATTTATATCCTCTCTTTTTATTGTTTGATGAGAGGGAGCCATGCTTTTATTCTTGCCTGTATCCTCACCTTCTGCTATTTGTAAGAATCTTCTTGATATTAGGATGCACAGGCTGGGTATAGTACTAGAGGAGCCCATAGCATTGCGGGGCCTTTTGTTTCAGGACATGAACATTGTCTTCAGTGCTTAAATACAGATGATTAATTTTCAACTAACCAAACTCCTCATTCACAAGCAACCCATTCAGACTAAGAAAGGATGTCAATAAAATTTTATATTTAACAATTATTGATGGAGCAAGAAACATATTACTTCGACTGTACATATTATGATCACAATAAATCCATTTTAGTACTTAGAATTTTATGTATTTCTCAGGAGAGTAGTATGTAAAGAACTTTTTTAAAATATCAAACAGAAGGATAGATTCCATTAAAGTAAATTTTGTGTGGAGATAGTAGAATTAATACAAGTTCAAGGCAAAAGAAAGTATAGACTCTATTAATGGTTAAAAGAAAGCTTACTTACTGGTTTTTAGGGTTAATATTGATATACAGCAAATCACCATTCCATTGTATATGAATAAAGAGTGATGTGACCATTTTATTTTAAAATACCATTACTTAAAATGTGACATGGGCTGGGGAGATGATTCAGTAGAATAAGCACTTGCCTGGCTAGCACAAGGGCCTGAGTTCAATCCTTGGTTCCACCAAAAACAAAAACAAGACAAAACAAACAAACAAACAAAGGTAAAATGTGATACAAGTTTTAATCCTTTCCAATATTATACTTAAAACTAAAATGTTATATGTCAACTGCATTGAGAAATTGCAAAGTTAAAATCATGTATATAATATATATATGTATATATACATATACATATATATATTATGCATGCATATATCTATGTGTGTTAGAAACAAAAAACAGCATTTCAAAATGCTTTGGGGAAGCCACAATTCTTGTTGCATAGGTCCTGCTTTACCTTGGTCTTAAACATCCAGCAGAAAAGTGTAAAAACGAAATATGAGAAGTAAAGCCATGCTGTTATGTTGAGCTGTAGGGGACTCAGGTCAACAATTTCTGACATGAAGCGGAAGACCCAATACTATTATGGACTACTGGACTCTTTTAGAATATTTTGCTGAGTTTACACACCTATAATATTCAAATAACGGAATTAAACAAAAAAGGGGATACAGATGAATGTCCATTTTGTATCTGTGTATTCAAAGTGGTTAGGATAGATATATAGTTACATTCTCTTAATGAATAAAGGGGTTTGTTCTAATGGTGTTTTTAAATAGGATCTCAAGTCCGCATCTTGTACAGCAATTAACCACTAAGAAGAATGTATGCAATGTGTTAATTATTGAAACTGTCCTACCAATTTGATTTGAAACTGCCTCATTGCTATTTATTTTTCAATAAAATTATGGAAAAAAAAGAAAACCTTACAGGAAATACCACATTAAAATATTACTTGGAGATGAAAAAAAAATGCTTTGGGCAGGCTGACAGAGCTCCATCACCACTGAAATCTCTTTGCCTTGATGCGGTGACATCTGTAGGCCTCTGTACAGACATAACTCAAGAAAAGAAGTAATTATCATTTTCCCTTAATACATGAGTAATTACTTTTCATTAGAAACCAAATGTAAAAACCATTACATATTTTATTTGACTCTCAATCATTAACATGCTAGACACCTTTACTCACCAGCGAGTATCAATAACACCTTGACTTCTTAAGGTCTAGCTACCAAAAATGGTAGCCAGAGAAACAAATGGCTTCCCAGACTGAGGGACACCGTATATGTAAAGCACAGTGAAGTTTGAAGATGTGCACGTGTAAAAGAGTTCAGTAATTGTTTTTGAATGTCTCGCATGTATCAAGCTTAAAAAGTGCATTCTTAATGTTGATTTTACCTACGTGTTTTCACTTTTTTTCAGTGTGTGGGTAGGTATCTAAAATTACATGCGAGGTTCATTGGGTTCCTGTTGAACATGGAAGAGCCAGTCCAAACAGCAGGAGAACTTGGAGAACTGGGAATCCTCTCTTCCATCTGGGCAATAACTTTTTCAGTTAAAATTTCTTCCTCAGACCACTCTATCCAGGAAGTGAACTACCAGCCCTTGACCTTTTTCATGGGATGCCTTTCCCATTCTTTGTGGGGTTCTACCAGATCAAACCATCGGATGTAACTGTTATGAAAGGGATGCTCAACAGATAGTAAAGAAACAGAAAGAAGTAATTTCTTTACACTTCAGGTCCTCATCATATGCATTGATTAGCAGGAGGTCATTGAAGATGACCAGAGAAGGAAATTTCTGGAGAAGTCTAGATATCCTGAAGAGATAGTGTAAGGCCTCTGGAGGCCTTTGCTGTGCTGTCACTCATATGTCCTTTTTTTTTGCCAGAGCGCTGCGATGACTGGGGACTTGATACCATGAGACAAATCCAAGTATTTGAAGAGGAGCCAGCTCGAATCAAGTGTCCCCTCTTTGAACACTTTCTGAAGTTTAACTACAGCACAGCACATTCAGCTGGCCTTACTCTGATCTGGTATTGGACTCGGCAGGACCGGGATCTGGAGGAGCCAATTAACTTCCGCCTCCCTGAGAACCGCATCAGTAAAGAGAAAGATGTGCTCTGGTTCCGGCCTACCCTCCTCAACGACACAGGCAACTACACCTGCATGTTAAGGTGACTTAACTCTCTGCAGCAATTTTCTTTTCCCTCTTGGGTTCCTAAGCCTTTATTCTGATCATGAGTATGATGCCAAGCTGGGAAGACTAAGGGAGCATTTAGACAGAGTTGTGCTTTCTCTGAGAGGCTTAGATGAGGTGGGATGAGACAGGGGTGCAGGGGAAATCGGTGTGCCCCTGAGAACGTTGTCCAGAACTGGTTCCTTTCCAGATGCTAATGTATGTCAGAGTGGACTCTGTCACCAAAAAAGCCTGTGGGCTATACAACCTCGAGAGCCTCTTCTACGGTGTTTGCCTGACATGTTCATTCACCAGACTTGCTTGTGGGCTCTGGAGAAAGCCTGCACACTCGTGTGCCTGTTATCGCTGTCCTAATACAATGTGATATAAGTTAAAACAGAGTAGCTACAAAAAGCATGAGGAGCTGGCTGACAAGCCAGGCCGAGATTCAGCTCCATGGCTCCTTAGCTGGTGAATTCAGGGATCTGGACTTTTGGTGTCTTTCTCTACACAATGAGAACATTAATGCTCTTTGAGCTTATTGACAATTGTCAGTTCCTTAATACCTCCTGAGTGAATGCCAGCACATCCTGAGGAAGCAGTCAGCATGCTTTCTCTTTCATTCTCATCTCTAGCACATTCTCACACTTCTACATCTATATTTGCTTAACTTCTGTAATCCTTTTTCACTTCAGCAGTAGAGCTGCTAGAATGGGAAGGCCCGTATGTATCTTTTAAGTGTTTCTTTAATCAATTTCCAAATGGTCTGCTCTTCAGTTTTCTATCTACATATCTTCTCTCTCTCTCTCTCTCTCTCTCTCTCTCTCTCTCTTTTCAGAACCAAGGATTGAACTCAGGCCCTGCGCTTGCCAGGGAAGCACTTATTCTACTGAGCCATCTCCCTGGCCCCTCTTCCTTGTCTCTCAAGCAAATCTATAACTGAAATTGTCTGCAGGGAGCCCTATAAACCTTCCCACTGCCCTGCTGTGATTCCTAATCTGAGAATGGTCTTCAATATAGCCATTCAGAATCAGGGCTGGATGTCTTTTAAGCTATAAAGTGAGATTCATCTTTCCATATTTTACAATTTATAGATTTGCTTCAGTATGATTTGCCTTAAGAGTTGCAAAAACCAGTCTCACCACTATTTATCACTTCTATCAAAATTCAAAATGGTACTATAATCTTAAATTCAATTTACCTCCTGTAACTTCTACCTATAGAATCCATCTACCACATAATCGGTCTTTTGTTATGGGTGGACGGAGATTGTTCCTCACATCTCCCCCTGCCATGTACCCAATACTCTCAAAAGCTGTCCTGCCACACATTTCCCATGTTATTTGGAAATTTCCCTCCTCCTCCATGTGCTTAGTATTAATTTATGAGTCATTGATTGGCTACCATGTGTTTGGTCCTGTAGCTAAAAATTATGATTAAAATAGACACATAAAATTCATTATTCCATCACCTAAATGGCTATTCTTATTATTCTGTGGTCCCTTTCATCATTATATTTCATACATACTTGTGTTGCATGTATTCCATTCATTTAACAAACATTCATGTATCATCTACTAAAAGTTTAGCTCTATACCATGTGCAATAGCTATAATAAAAAGTCATGTAGAATTTGCATTTTTTCTAGAGTATTGAGAGATATTTATGATATAACTATGTAATTTTGAAATACGATAAATTTAATCAAAGAATGAGCCCAGATATGTAAAGAATGGAGGCCCCAGTTGAAATGTGAGATTGATAGAGGATAATAGGGATGGTAGACTCTGCAGGCAGATGGAAAACACAAATACGATTTCCCAGCTCTTCTAAAAAGTTTCGTATGTGTTTATTTTTGCCCTTCATGCTCAATTGGTTTTAAAAGACTGACAACAATTTTAAATACTTGTACCATAGTTGTGTTTATAATCTTTATTTTTGATTTTTCGGCTTAGTCCAGTATTCTCTGAGGTGGCACTGGCTGAATATTTTTGATTATGTGCTATCTCTACTTCCACATCCGTCTACCTCTGCTGCATGGAGAGCAAACAGAAAAACAAACCAAAACTTCCAGATATAAGTTCATTAGGCCAATATCTAAGGCTTTATAAATTATCCTGGAAACAGGTATTTGTCAAAGGTATTTTAACTATCATGCTATGTATGAATAGGCCATTCTTCTTTGTTTATTTGTTTGGGGTGTTTGTTTGTTTGTTTGTTTGGTAGAACTGGGGATGAAACTCAGGTCCTTGCGCTTGCCAGGCAAGCGCTTGTTCTGAGCCATCTCCCCAGCCCCTAAATAGGCTATTTTTGCCTTTGTTTTATCAATAATGAGTGATATTAAAAATGTTTTAAGTGAAAGATTTTAAACATACATGCACTTTTAGGGTCATATAGGGTCCTATATGAAGTTCAGATAGTTCAGTACATTAGAATAGGTAATTGTAGTTTTTTTTATTCTGTGATGCCAATTGAGATAAGAAATGCCTCCATAACTTATTTGATTTCTGCAAAATGTATATATATATATATATATATATATATATATATATGAGGTATCAATTCAGTTTATTTTTCCATAAGACTGTCAAGGTCCAAAGTTGTTGACTTGAGCCTTTTACAGCTCATCATATTGATATGGCTTTACTTTTTATACTTTATTTTCATACTTTTCTGCTGGATGGTTATCATGAAATAGCAAGACCTATATAACAAGAAATGTAACTTTTGTATCTGATAAGATCAGTCAGATCCCCTCAGGATTTAATCTGAAACCAAACCCTGTACTTCAGTTTGTAGATTCTTTGTCAGTGTCAGCCATGTGCATGAGTCATGGCCTTTGCTTGACCAATTTGCTCTCTGTGAAAGCTTGAGAGAATGTTTTCTCTCTATGTGCCTCTCCTTAGGCACACTCTACATTGTCCATCACTTTCCTTAGTGGCCCTATAATCTCCTTGATCAGAAAATTTGGGACAGAACTGAGTTACAGGATGTTACAGTATGGGTTCTCCTATTTCCTGGGTCCTTACTGACTTTGAGGGCTAGGGCCAAAATGTTGGCTGTCCTTGTAGGCCTTCTTTTTCTTTAATTTTTGGTCTGCAAACTTAAGTTGTTAAACCTCCAGAAGAGAAGCTTAATGATATTATTAACCTATAGCATAGGCGGTATAAATAAAAAAAAACTTTACTAAAAAAAGAAATTCAGTTTATTTTAATATGATTGCAATACTGTGTCAAATGCAAAGCATGCTCGCTCAGCCCACATTTCTACTTGCAGGAATACTACATATTGTAGCAAAGTTGCATTTCCCCTGGAAGTTGTTCAGAAAGACAGCTGTTATAATTCCCCCATGAAGGTCCCCGTGGAAAAGCTGTACGTAGAAGACGGCATTCAGAAGATAACTTGCCCAAATGTGGATGGATATTTTCCTTCCACTGTCAAGCCAAATGTCACTTGGTATATGGTAAGCACATTAGAGCAAATCTTATCCTTTCTGAAGCCATGGTTGTTATTTGCTGCATTAAATGTAGAGACTTGCATGTTTTATCCTCAGATTTTTTTTTTTTTTAATATTTTTCTTTAGTACTTTTGTACAAACCTTTCACTGTTTCCTGCTTTGGTGTTGTTTCAAAGGAAGAGGTGAAGTTGCTCTGTTCTGGCCCAGTGTTTCTTAAGTTACACTCATTGGAATATCAGAACTGACGTATTTCTGCGACTTCCTGTGGGATGTTTCAAGAAGTTGCCCACTTCCACTTAGCACTTGATGAAGTCAGAAGCCGCTGAGTCTTATGGTGAATTTCAGTGCCTCTATTATTCAGGGCTGTCATTCATTATTTATATGTGTTTTTCCTATTTGAGCTCGTGTGGGCCCCAGCCATCTGTGGTCTTATCCACCTCTGAGGGATTTAGAAAGTGTTTAATTAGTAAATGAAAGTGCCAGAAGGTGACATTGGTGGCAGCGGCATAGCTTCAAATCTGAAGCCTCCATACGCCAAAGCCAAAACCTCAAGGACAGTAGCTGCAGCAACATCAGTGACACATTATTTCTAAGAACTGCTTTCAACTAAATGAATGGGATAAGCCACCAACTGCCTTAAGACATAAAGAAATACATGTACGGAAGGCCAGAAAGTATATAGCTCATTGCAAACTTAGGGTAAAGGAAATAAATTATTTCAGAAATCAAGCTAAACTGACAAGGACATAGCAAATGCAAACAAACACACAGAAGACACTGTGAAGTTTGTAGGGCATGAAATACAGAAAACACTTACACACAATACTGAGAAAAATAAGATCAGCGTGAGTATACGTACACACACTGGTCATATGCCTTTAGACAGTGAGTATTGCTAGAGATAAAGAGGACATTTCATAATAATGAAAAAGTCATTTCATTGGGAAGACATAAAAATAAAACTTGAACAATACAGAATGGTATTTCCAATATGTGTGGCAAGAGTTAACTGAATTTAAGGGGGTAGGGGTGGGAAGGACAATTCCATAGTAGTGGTGGAAACTTTTGACTTCTCTAACATGTTAGTGAAATAAGTTAAGAACCCACTTAGAGAGTCTTCTAAGTTGAGCAATTTACAATTGGATTTTGAGTACAATAGTACTTGGATATAAATCCTATTCCACTTCCTCTGCAATTTTGAAATATAAACTTTGGGTCTTCTTAGACGTATCTGTGAGACACATAGGTGGCGGTAACATGCAGGTAGTGGTTACATGTATGTGGCTCTGGAGCATTGGAGAAAAATCAGAGCAGGCGATAGAGACCTGCATACATCTAGGGGATATTTGAAGCCCTTCAGAGGAATAAATACAGCGAGAAGAGGAGCCAGCTAAGTTAGTCTGCAGACACTGTTCATGAGGTGATTGGCAGCATCAAGTCTGCACAGAAAGACTGAGAAAAAATATGTTACTGATGTAAAGCAGTTGCCTTGGCAGAGGCCTGAGAGGGTGCAAGTGGTGATGATCAGCAAACAGCTATCTTTTGTACCTCTGATTCTATAAAAAATTGCTACTGGTGCGTGTTTTTATGCTTCTTTCTACTCCTCTCCCCTTGCCTGTTAGGCTGATATCTTGAATCCAAAAATTTCTTTCATCTTGGGAACAAAATCAGTGTGTTCAGTAACTACATTCTGTTGCTTTCCCTATTTACTTTTTGGCACCATCCTCAGGCACTGAGTGAGAGCCCTCGGGCCCTCTACAGCAGGTCTATTTTTGTTGACATTCCTACTTTGACATTGAGGAAATGGGATCTTTTCTAATACAAGCATGAAAAGTTTTGTTAGTTATTATCTCTTCCAGCACATTTACTTTTCTGTTTTCTGAAAAATGAAAGCTACTGTACTGAAAGGATGAAGAGGAGGTGAAAGCAGCAGGCATTCTCCTAGTGCTGTACAAGGCATGATGCTACTATGCCAACTTTACATGCCGTAGTTGCCAGTGCTCGCCACAGCTCCTCAAGGGGGATGCCCTATTTCAATAGATAAAGAAACGGAGCCTTAGGAGGCAAACACTTGCAGTTAACATCTACTGAGCACAGGCATTGTTCTAAGTGCTGTATTTCTGTTACTTTCTCAACATTCTTATGAAGTATTTTATCTTGTTGTCCCAGGAAACCTAGGTAGAGTGCAGTAGAGTGGTTTGCCAAAGAGCACAGGGCTCTTAGCCAACATTAAATCCTATGTGCTGTGTTCTCTTCTTTTCTATAATTTTCTCAAAACAAGATGCAAACAGTTAGAATTAGAGATTTCAGGTCTGGTTTACATTGTTCCAAAACCTCACTCTCCAGGACTGATGTACAGAAGGCCTTTACTTGTAGAATTTTGGGTGAGGCAATCTTTGAAGACATCCTGAGTGTTGAACTGAAGGGGGACAGGCCCTAAGGAAATGTGTGAGGGGCACGGCTTGGAAAATCAGAGAGAGAGCTGACACAGTGATGTTGGTGGAAGCAGGCAAGCTAAGGCTTATATTTCAGAGCTGCAGAGGACATGGAACAGGATTTCATTTTCTTCCTTTGTCTGTCTTCTCCCTTCTGCATGATAGGGTTTCCAGAATTCAGTTCTCTCATTCAGCAATCATAGGAGGTAAATTGATGCTCAGTAAATGTTTGTTGAGTGAGTCAGGTTTGGTAACCAGCCTGGAAAGTGAATTGTGATTTGTGAGTGACTTACTGAATTTCAAATAGCTGGTTTGTCATGGAACTTCTACGACACAATACGTTTATAAATTAGAGACTGCCTGTTTATGCACATTGGGACTTCCAAATATATAGCAGTGAACACGGAGGTAAATGTCATCCTGTTACTGTTGTCATTTTTATTACTATTATTATTAGATTTATTTGGAGACCTGGGTTTTAAAATATGGCAAGCCATCCTGACTTTCATGCAACTGGATTAATTCCCTATCTCATTGTTATTGGTACATCTTTGAAATTCCATTTTATAGAAACACTCATAAAAGCTAAAGCAATTCCTCCTTTTCCCTGAGGATCAGAAGAACCACTCCTTTGGGTGTTTTATTTATTACGTGTATGTCAACTGCTGAAATCCTCTCAACCAGCGCTCAGCAGAATCGATGTCATACTGGTATCAGTTTACCAAACACTGATTTTCTTGGTATCCATTGTAACGCTTAAAATCAGCATATTACTCCCACTTGCAATTTTTACTGTGAAGTTAACCAGATTTGGTCAGATATTAGATATTTGAGTGTCAGAAAATAGCAACACACCTTTGCTTTTTTTTTCTGACAAAATGCCATTGGAAAAGAATTTTTCCAATAAAGTGCCAAGCCAGGATTCTTTGTCAGTGTCGTGTGTGCTGTTGTACTGGTGGGGAGTCAGTCCTAGGTTTGTGTCATAGGATGAGGTCTTTGAATGCTTGCCTTAGCTTAGGTTGACAGCATAGTCTGGTGCTTGCTCTCTTCTCTTTCCCCATATTCCCTATACGGTGACCTTTTGTATGAAAATAATGTGTGTCCAATTTTCCTTCGCCTCTGCTCCTATGCCCCTAAACACACAACATTTTACATTCACATTTTAGGGCTTTCAAAGACTGAAAATCCACCATTTAAACTAAAAATCAAATTCAGATAAACGTCTGTTAAGCCTGCAGGCTAAAGGAGGTCAAATCAATCATTTGTATCCTGTATACTTTGATAGAACTTAATTCCCATCTCATCTTGTTCACCTAGCGATTATATTGTTGTTCTCTGCCCGATAGGCACGCTTTTGCTTTGTGTTCCTTGAATCCCAAGCACACACTGCCAAACTGAGCCCATGTATATTTCACATAGGGATTGATTAAATAATTGAATGAAGTAGACTGCAGTGTAAAATTCCATGAGGACAAGTGCCATTTCTGTTCTTCCTGGCTGTTATGTGCACAGCTCCTAACAGTTTCTGACACATTGGAGGTACTTTGTAAATATTTATAAATATTGGAAGGCTTAGTTCTGTTTATTAGAAGTGACTGAGTTCTGTAACTCTTCGGAGACTTCATGACAAAGTATAATTTATTTGATATCAACATAACTGTGAATGCAAAAGCTTCAGTCACGATTCATGACTGCCCAGAGCTTGTGCTTTAGTTAAACTCTTTGTATTTTTATTCTCTTTTCCCATCCATCCTAAAGTCTACCACTTTGTGTCCTACAATCTATATACTATTTCCCATTCCATGTAGCACAAGCCCTCTGTTCTATGTCTTGTGCCTTTGTCTCTTTCATGTGTATTTTTTT